ATCGTTTCTAGTTATTCTTATTATGTTCCCCAAACGAAGTTGGGGAACATATTGTTTTTACTCTGTTTCTTATTATTATTATTATTATTATTTTTCTTCTCGGGAAAATTTTGTCCGCGAATGATCTTGTAAAGTACACATCCGATTAAGGGGAAACCTTTTTAGGGTAAGTAGGCATGTTATGTAGATTTGCGGAATCAAGGTCATTTTGCGCGCACGTGCTTGCAAGAGCGCGCACGTGCAAAACTTGAAATGACCAATATATAATGGATATAACCATAACTTTTCTATTTTTAGACGAAATGTTTTGAAACTCATAATGTAAGGATATATGAGTAGTATGCACAAGATGACATGGTCAAAATAGCAAGATCGCACGTGCAAGCACGTGCGCTTCGCTCTGATTGGCTGAAACTAAAGTCTCAATATCTTTCTTGTTTTTTGATAAAATCATTTGAAATTTTGAACATAGTCATACATTAGGGAGATCTACAGCCCGTAATAAAAGAAATATCATGAAAGCATGTGCATGCACGTGTGCTTGCAAGAGCTCGCACGTGCAACACGAGAAATGTCCAATATAATTGATACAGACGTAACTATTTAAATTATTGATGATATGCTTTAAAACTCATATTAGAAGTATATATTAGAAGCATAGACAAGATGACATGGTCAAAAAAGCAAGATCTCACGCGCATGCACGTGCGCTTTGCTCTGATTGGCTGAAACTAAAGTCTCAATATCTTTCTTGTTTTTTGACGAAATCCTTTGAAATTTTAAATATAGACATGCATTAGGATATCCTACAATAAGATATATAGCAATTATTTTGAAAACGCGTGCATGCACGTGCGCTGCAATCTGATTGGCTTATGCTTTAAATAGCTATAACTCCCTTGGTTTTCAACCAAACAGGATGGGATTTGGAACATAGATAGATATAATGGACTTCTACAAGAAGACATGGTCACCATGCACATGCATACACGTGCATGTACGTGCGCTGCAATCTGATTGGCTGAAACTTTGAACAGCTATAACTCCCTTGGTTTTCAACCAAACGGGGTGGGATTTAGAACATAGATAAATGTAATGGACTTCTACAAGAAAGTATGGTCACCATGCTCATGTGAGCACGTGCGTGCACGTGAAATGAGTAAAATCAAAAATACACTTGAATTAGCGTATTTTTTTTAATACGTTTGGATTAAATACTTTGATATTTAGTATATTAAAATCTATAGATTGTAAAGACAAGATTGTATGGTCATTACGCACATGCATTCACATGCGCACGCGTGCAATGCTAAAATTTGAATGAAATTGGTACACTTCTGGGTAAACGTTGTTAAAGTCTCAAATGCATAGAGTTTGTCTTATTTAATGAAGCTTATAGGGAACATGGCACCAAAAGGGAGTTGGGGAGCGTTTGGGGAACATCTGTAACGGTCCCCGTTACAATTAGCACTAGTTATTATTATTTTTCTTCCTGGGAAAATTTTGTCCGCAAGTGATCTTGTAAACTACACATCCGACTTAGGTGAAACCTTTTTAGGGTAAGTAGGCATGTTATGTAGATTTGCGGAATCAAGGTCATTTTGCGCGCACGTGCTTGCAAGAGCGCGCACGTGCAAAACTTAAAATAACCAATATATAATGGATATAACCGTAACTTTTCTATTTTGTGACGAAATGTTTTGAAACTTATAATGCAAGGATATATTAGTAGTATGCACAAGATGACATGGTCAAAATAGCAAGATCGCACGCGCATGCACGTGCGCTTCGCTCTGATTGGCTGAAACTAAAGTCTCAATATCTTTTTTGTTTTTTGATAAAATCATTTGAAATTTTGAACATAGTCATACATTAGGGAGATCTACAGCCTAATATAAGATTTATCATGAAAGCATGTGCATGCACATGTGCTTGCAAGAGCTCGCACGTGCAACACGATAAATGTCCAATATAATATATACAGACGTAACTATTTGAATTATTGATGAAATGCTTTGAAACTCAAATTATAAGTATATATTAGAAGCATAGACAAAATGACATGGTCAAAAAAGTAAGATCTCACGCGCATGCACGTGCGCTTCGCTCCGATTGGCTGAAACTAAAGTCTCAATATCTTTCTTGTTTCTTGTCATAATCCTTTGAAATTTTGAACATAGACCAACATTATAAAGATCTACAGCATGATATATAAGAATTTTCATGAAAGCATGCGCATGCCCACGTGCTGCAATCTGATTGGCTGAAACTTTAAATGGCTATATCTCCTTTGTTTTTTGACGAAATGCTTTGAAATTTAAAACATAGCCATGCATTAGGATATCCTACAATATGATATAGAAAAAAAAATCATGAAATCACGCGCATGCACGTGTGCTGCAATCTGATTGGCTTAAACTTGAAATGGCTGTAACTCCCTTGTTTATCAACCAAACTGGATGGGATTTAGAATATAGATAGATATAAAAGACTTTTACAAGAAGGTATGGTCATTATGCACGTGCACGCACGTGCGTGCATTTGGAATGAGTGAAATGAAAAATACCCTTGAAAGAGTGATTTTTCTCACTTTTGGACTGAATGCTTTAATATATTGTATAGTAAAATATGTAGATAGTGTAGACAAGATGATATGATCATAACGCACATGCATTCACATGCGCACGGGTGCAATGCTAAAATTTTAATATAATGGTATCCTTCTGGGAAAACGTTGTTAAAGTCAAAAATGCACAGACTTTGCTTTATTTAATGAAGCTTACAGGGAATATGGCACCAAAAGGGAGTTGGGGAGCGTTTGGGGAACATCTGTAACGGTTCCCGTTACAATTAGCACTAGTTCTTTAATAGGATACAACTTGATCCAGATGGCATTATACTGAATACTTAATGAAAATGAGGATTACAAAGTACTTTTATTGATCGAGCTATATATGCTTAATTTATTTACTATGAAAAATGTCTTTGGATTTACATGTATATAAACCATGAAACATTGGATTTAGCATATTTTATTCCATAATAGGGTACAACATAATCCAGATGGCATTTTATAACACTGAATACTTTAAATTGAGAAATACAATGTACTATTATTGAGCTATGCTTAATTCATCACTTTATTTTGAAAAATGTCTTTGGATTTACATGTATATATTTACATTCACTATGTTTTTCTAGTAAGCCATAACTGTGAAATTGATTTGAAATCCATTTTCGTGTATACTCACGCGTAGAAATATACACGGAGAAACGTTCGTTAACGTGACGTCACAATGAGGCCCAGCGACGTTTGTAAAAATGCAACGATATAGGGCAGCGAGAAATTCAAATATTTAATAACATATTTTAGTTGTTTCCAAACATGTAAAATGTAAATATAAGGAATGTTTTTCAGTTTGGTGTGAATTATTGGTAGGTGAATCACACAGACTTGCACGTAGGCATATTTTTCATGAAGCGCTAGTTTTAAATAGCGCTCATCATGGAATATGCCAGCAGAGCAATTGCTATTCATAACGCCATGTTCACTAAAAACGTTGTTTATTTCTTAAATATGTCAGCATCTTCAGATATTTTACATTTGCTATTTTGAATTAGGAATCATTATTTTGCGAAGTAAATAAATTTTTGTAAGCCTCTGTTAAAAAAAAAGTTATTTGATAAAGATTTTCCACCAAATATTTCTGCTACATCCTAATCTTAACTTGGTAAGACAAAGAGAGGAAATCAACGAGTCTACCTCCAATATGGTGGCCAATGGGAAGTATTAACTCTCGCTTAAATCAGGCCTATCGAAAACTATCTATTCTCTGTTTAGGTCTGTGGAGACCAAAGAAGAGTCGGGGTATTCCCACGGTAGATTCTGTATTGTGGGCCTAGGTAAAGCAATAACCAGGAGACATGCTGAATTACTGAAACAGAAAGATCCAAAACAATGGGGAGTGGATCTAAGTACTTCCATGTTTGTGTACTGTAAATACTACTGACTGTACACAGTGTTTTCCTGTTGATAGATGATATCAGTAGTGCAAAACTCAGTTGGATCATTAAAATTTGGAGCACGGGGGTTACAATTTAATTCGAAATGTTTGCATAAAATAAATAATAGATAAATTTTTACCCCTATACATGGAGAAATTTTGCTTCCAAAAAATGAGAATGTTGATATTCATTGATGTAAGTGGTTTTTTTTTTTTTTTTTTTTTTTTGTGGGGGGGGGGGGGGGGTCTAGTTCTTTTAAAAAGACAAATTCAAAGGACCCATCTGTAAACATGGTGAGTAGCTGTATAGTGTTACTCTTCATTCTTTGTTATAGATAAAGTTATTTAAAAACAAAAAATGCCTACATTTTAATTGACCCCAAAAATAATATTATAAAGGGTTCTGTTAATGGTAACTTAATATTATTTTATGATATTGTATGGATATTTCAGAACTCTGAGTGGAAGAATATGTTTGGCTCCTATGAATCAGATTCCTCCTCAATAGCTTGTCTCCAAAAGCCCGCACCCTACAGAAAACTGCCGAGAGTCTGGAGAGGAATTAAGCTAAACACTTTACAGACCCTAAGTCAGGCATCATCTTCATCATCGGGAAGCTTTGTAATGATGTCACAGAGTCAGGGGTCATCTGAGAGGTCAGTCACAGAGTCAGGTGACATCTGAGGGGTCAGTAAGATCTCGGACAGAGAAAGGCACAGACAAAAATCTCACAAGTAAAAATCTCCATGTATAAGTATCAGTCATTTGCTTGAAAATTTTAATTTACTGTGCTGATAAACATGTGATATACATGTAGATGTATTACATTGTATGTTTTAGTGCTAAAATACTACTGCTATTCGAAGCATTTAATCCTAAAAAAATACAATGTTTTGAATTACAGCAAAATATCCCTGTAAGATAGTCCTGAGGAACATTGTACACAGGAAGAAAGAGTTGTACTCGGCCGAGTCTAAAGACTCAATTACTGGAGACAGCCTGGGAGAGGAGGCCCCCACCCAGTAACTGGAAACCCAAGGGGCTACTGGTGACCCACCTCCAGGAACACAGGGCGACAGTCAACAGGTAGAGAGAGGGGCACAGAAAGTACTAATTAATGACCTGTATAAAAAGAAAAGTTTACCATCAAGGGGAATAACTCTTCTAAGCACTAACATTCATCTTCTCTATGTAATACTATTTAGCAATGACTTTATTGAAATTTAACTGCCTTAGCCAAATAAGTTGTTATTATATACTAGTACATGTACATAATTAAAGAATGTGTTATCTACTAGCAGGATTCAAGTTTCTCAAGACCATGCATTCTTTGCCCCGTGGCCTCCAATGATGGTACAGTCAAATTATGGGAGTCTGAAAAACTGGAGGGAAACAGTGTTGCTAACTGCTCTAAACAGACCCTCAAGAATACTTCTGTACCTGGTAAAATAACAAATTACTTTGATATACACTGTATTATGTCTTTGATTTATTTTTTTAATGAATATCCAATTTTCTTTAAATCGTCAAAAAAAATTTAAGATGAAAGAAAAATATGTGATTTTTTAAAAGTATCTGACTTATACTTGAATATAGATACATATAAGTGCTGATTATTGCTTTGTTTGACAAGGAGAGAAAGTGAAAGGTTTAGTTTTCTGTGAAGCTCCTGGCTCTGCTCTCTCCTGGCCACATTCACTGACATGGGGGCCATCAACATTTACAAGTCAGTAGTGTGTTTTATATATTGAAGTTAGAAATAAATTAATTGTTTCTTTTATTGATTTGCTTTTTTTAACAGGATAGAGGCAGGAAAGACCACTTGAAACAAAGCTATTAATGTGGACAAGTCAGACTATGGAAACATAGTAGATCTCCCATACTTTGATACAGGTACAGCACTGCACAATTATATGTATCTTGACATAGCATGATTATTTAGATATGCACATGTATTATGAAATAGGCAATTTTATATATTGTGTAAAGTGGGAAAAGAATTATGATGAACAAAGGAAAATTTTTAAACGTTGTCTTGAAGTTTTTGTTCAGATTTTAAGTGTTAGGATATCTTGGTGTATGAGTTCTTCAAGGGTTCTGTCCTTTTACAGGTGCCCAGTCTGTTTTATCGTATGCTGCAGTCAATGGGGTCTTAGTGGGACATGATCTTTACTCTAATAAGGAAGTCTGGAAGCTCAGAAATGATCCCAAATCAGGTAACAGGCAAAGCAATCAAGTCATACACACGGTAGTCAATTATAAAGGACGCATTACTTTTGATTTGAGAAAAATTATCTGTGTAATCATCCTTAAAATTAGAAAAGATTTTAAACATAAGATCATATCTGAAATGTTAATATTTCACATCTATACCCTTAATATTACATTTTTGTTGGTATTCAACTTAACCATCATACCAGATTTTAACATACAGCCGATTGTCTGCATTCAGTTTAATGGTTGACTGTTATACACCCATTCTCAATATAAGGGCACAAACGCCTCTCTGATTTTTTAAAAAATGAAGTTCAAGATAACAATTTTTCTACCAATTACCTTTGAGAGAAAGTATCTGAAGATTTTGTTTCCAGATTTTTTTTCATCAAATTATAATACATGGAATAATGACAAGACGATAAAGTAGAGGGTGATTTTATTCAGAAATGTAGCTTGAAATGTACGTTACTCTGTCTTCAATGTCTGAAAAAATATGTCAAAAAAATGTAGTCATTAAAATCACAATTGGAATATCTCATCTTAACACCAGCACATCCTACCAACTCTGTCAGCAACATATTTCTCGGCATACGAACGTGCGTTTGATTTTTCCTTTCAAAAAACAAAGGTTACTTTTTGATCCAGATGTATAAAAACATTTTTAAATATATGCTTTAAATTCTTCTCTCTGTTTTTTTTTAGAGCGGTCAGTTTGGAATCTTGTCATTTTCTATAGATACTGGAACCTAACATGTACATGTAGTAAAATTCTATTTTGTAGTTACTGTCTTTTTTAACATATAGTCATGCCGATTTCGAAAACTACGTAAATGTAACGTACATTTCAATATATATTTCTGTTTGATAAAAAGCTTAAAATTCATCTAAAAATTCATCGTTTTGTTTCAGTTTATTCCAAAAAAGATTCTCTATGTAATCACATTGTGTTTTATGTCACAATCACCACTTAAAGACACGATTGCCTCAGAATATGAGTAGGTAACGTACATTTCAAGCTTGTAATAATATGTAAATTAGAAATAAGAAAATATTGAAAAAAAAGCAATTATTGACATAAAAATCATTTCAATGAAGCGTTTTAAGGCAGTAATATAAGAAATCATAATGTAACAAACGAGGTTATTTGTCATCAACTACATGAATGTCACGTCACTTCGGTAACGTTCATTTCACATATTATTGGGGAGTCTCCTCCACCTCAGTTCATTACCATTCTTTTGTGCTGTTTCGCTGAAATTGACACCGGTTGTAGCCTAGTTAATTCTACCTGTGTGCAAGGGTACAGACAAAAAAAAATATAAGAGTCAGACTTATTTTGCTATGATCTAACAAATGCTCGTGTTTGGCCATTGAAACTTAACATAAATCTATTCCGAATATATCCATGGACAGTCTTGTTAACAATTTCATTAATTATGTTGCAACATCGTTTTTCAAAACACAAACATACGTGCTTTTCAGCAGATCTGGAAAATATAACCCAAAATGCAATGATTCAAACAAAACTGAGTATCGTGTGCCTTTCAGTATTTGAAATGTACGTGACCGTCTTGTGTTATGGGTTTATTTCTTTTGTTTCTTTTTCTTTTTTGTTTTGTTTTGTTTTGTTTTTACCAATTATAAGCCTATGCATACCTTGTTTTAAATTATCAACAACAATTATATTAATATTGACGAAAAGTCGCATATTAAAAGTAAACAAACTGCAAAAAGGTTGCCAAAGATGAATTTAATACACTTAGAAATAAATTTTCTAGCATGTGGTAAGTCTAAAACATTTACGAGGATTGGGGGTGCATTTAGATGGATTTATGTGGCCAGTTGTCAAATGGATTGTAACGATTATTTTGTTTCGCTCGTGTAAACGCAATTCATTGACCAAATAAAAAAACATGTAAGTTAGAAATACGTAAAATGTACGATTCATGCATAACGTACATTTCAAATATAAAAATCAATTCTCTTCCACAAGCGTACGTTAGACACGCAATATATTGATACTATTTGAACTTGCATATCATAAGACATGCATCATACAGGTTTCGTATTCAGAAATATATACCAGGTATCAAAATTATATTACATATAATTGACCTTAATATATTTTCCTCAGCAGAAACGTTTCTTTTCATCAATTTTGGGATTTAGCTGACCTCCAACCTTTGAAACTTTCCTTTGTGTACACATTCGAGTGTCAGAAAGTATGAGAATACATGAAAAATCGTGATAGATTCACTTAATTCGAATTTCATGGTAACGTACATTTCAGTCACGTACATTTCAAATGATCACTTTTCATGTAAAAAATAATTTTTAATTGTGTTAAGCAAAACGTCTTTGCCAGTTTACAGGATAAAAGGGGTTGCTTATTCAGAGTCGTCTCATATTTTCTACTTAATATATATTCTTAATGGAAGAATATAGGTAACGTACATTTCTTTCTAATCTCTACGATTGAAAATGTCTTTCATTCCGTAAACATATTTATAAAAGTTGCTCAAATTGTTCAATTTCATGTTAAATTATCTAAGTAGGAGTAATTGATCCTTTGAAATTTCAAATTTAGCCCATCAATAAATAAAGGAGAACAAAACTATCAGGTGTATAATCTTTGTGTTTGCTTGTAATGTGGGTTGAAATAGAATTAAGCGACAGGGACATTGCACAATAAAAATAATTTAATATCACAAAGGAAATGTATTTATTGTTATGAAAGAAAAATATATGATACAAGGTTTAACTTATCAGAAAATTTTTACTTGAGAATCAAAACTATATATTACACAGATGGGATTCAGAATAATATTTGCCTCGGCGACAGTAACGTACATTTCAAATAGGCTACTATATTTGAATTTGGAACTCCTTAAATACCCTTTCAGATCGATAATTATATGAATTCTTATTCATTGTTATATGAATATTTATAATGTTGATTTAAAAATTACATCAGTGGTATTTCTTTTAAATGAAAATGAGGCGACTTTATTTGAGCCCTTATATTGAGAATGGGTGTATAGGGTTGATCACCTCCATTGCTGTACACCACTCCCAGTGTTGGTTGACTGTTATAGGGTTGATCACATCCTTTGCTGTACACCACTCCCAGTGTTGGTTGGCTGTGGAGACCAGCAGTGGTACACGTGTCTGTTGGGACGTTAGATTCCAGCTTCCCATTAACTCCATAGTCCATCCTATAGGTAGGAATCAATGTGTTTTTCATAATAAAAAACTGCCCTTCATTATTGGTAAGTTTTATATTGATAATTATATTGCTATGGACAGGTGCCCTTCATTATTGGTAAGTTTTTATATTGATAATTATATTGCTATGGACAGGTGCCCTTCATTATTGGTAAGTTTTTATATTGATAATTATACTGCTATGGACAGGTGCCCGAGTAAGGAGGTTTATCATGCACCCCCAGGAGCAGTCCTTGCTGATCTCAGCCATCCAGGGAAGTAATGAGGTGTCCATATGGGAGGTATAGACGGGGGCCAGACAAAAAGCCTGTAGGCAAGTCCTACACCCACAGTCTCTATCAGGTCAGTGTCTATATACATTTTGAATTGGTCACATTGAAACCTTGAAGAAAGTTTTATTACATGTAATCATTAAGTTAAGAA